TCAGAGAATTTATTAGGCTCCATAATTTGCCATCAGCTGACAGTTCCTAATTATGATTCTTGACCTGCTAACCAATTCTAATCAATCAGTTAAGGCCTAATGATTAATTAATTTCTGAAACTCAAAGGGTACCCAGGCTTTTGCACATGCCACACTTACTATTTTATTTTTTCTATTATTGAAGTTTATCAAATTGAGACTGCAGACAACATTTGCAGAAAAAAAAATTAAGTAGTCTGCTGCAGAAGTTGTCACGCCTCCCGCTGGCTCAGCAGAGACTAACTCCCATCACTCCATCCAGAACTCCAACTCCCACAATCCTCTGGGGATCACATGCCCATGGACTCTCAGCCATCTACCTATCCACGCTCCAGTTCACCTGATTATTGATTGTTGTCACCTGTTTAAGTGCCCATGTGACCTGTTTGTTTCCATCGCCTCCTTGCGAAGTATTGTATCCATCTCCTGTGCATTACCAAGCCTTTTGTTCCAGTGTTTGGCTTCCTGGTTTGTTTTCTTACTCGTTTTTATCGTTTATGATTCTAACCTGACCTTCATTAAACATTTTAACCACAGCCTGCTCTGCACGCGTCTGACTCCTACAAAGCTGTCACATTTGTTTACTTCTTTTCTATAAAATGTGTAATTTGGCGATGGGTGCCCAGAATGTTGCATACAACTCTGTACCATAGTCATAGTCTTGTTGGCGGTGTCAAGAAACAACAAATCAATAGCCATCCACTAATATTGTAGCTTAAAAGCAAAGCTTGCAAAATCTGCTCAAAACCGCATGCTTTCCTAATTCGTGTACGTGTTTTGTTTGTTAATATCACAGTCCACTTGAAAGAAGCAGCCCTGCTGTCTCTCTTTGAGCTGAGGTTCTATTTCCAACAGTCTGATGAACAGTGTATGGAACCCATTGCCGTTGGCTCTGTTTTCCTCTGGGTTACTTCAATAACCCCAGCTTGTCAGGATGCCTCCAAAGAAATAGCAAGAGAAAGATAACTGGCCAGAGCCTCTGTCTGCACTGTGTGTCCAGCTGACTCCTGCGAGACTATGTCAAAAGCAATTCTCCGGGTTTGAAGTCCCTTCAGTGCAGATTGCACTCTCTTAGCACAATACATCATCCTGCTGCGGCCGAATGAGGCGAGACCAATTACATCTGGTGTCTGTTTCCATAAACATTAATTAAACTGCTCTCTGTTTTTGTGTTTGGAGGAATTCTGCCCTTTTTAATTTAAAGACCAGCTCTCGTACCATCTTTGAAAATCAATTGGATTTCTGTCATCATTAACACGAGGGGCAGCCGAGCAATTTGTCTACATACAGCCTTAGTCTTTAATGTTTTACACTAAGCACTATTTTCCATTTGAACCGGTGTGCGGGGTTATTGGAAGCCTCTTCCGTGCTGATTGAATCTGCAGGGCGGCATTGATCGCTTTGTCGTAATTGCCTCTCTTACATCACATCCTACATGGGTTTTGTGTCTTCTCTGTCACTGGCTTGAGAGCTGTCTTTAAAGATCATCTGTGCTATCTGAGAGAGCACAGGAGCAACGGGAGGTTGAGTGCCAAACAGTCTAAGAGAACAGAAATCATTTCTCGTGTCTGGAATTGAGACTGGGGAGGACTACTTTTCTCTCTAAGTGCAAAAATAGCTACTCCACTGACAAAGTTGTTATCACGTTTAATGTGTTTCATGACACAGACTTTGAAACTCTAAATCTTTCATCACTTTCAGTTTAATCTCTGCTGTCTAGTATAATTTTCAGCAAGTTTTACTGGGTTGGCATACACATCACATATGCAAAATCGTAATGAAAGGCTAATGAGATACAAACTCAGCTTATTACACTACACTCATGGCGAATTCACAAGTCTGACAAGCTCTATTTTTAGTTGGCCCTCTGTCTTATAAACTGAATGACATACGCAACGGAACACGATGCTGAACCTCCACCTTCCAAGCCTGTGATTCAGAAGAATGATGATTGGCGTTAATTGGCGCTTACGGTGTGGCTGCCACACCCTTCGTTCTAATGACGTCTCCTAGACAACCGTGTATGCTCACAGCAGGTGATGTTTTACCCAGTAACTAGAGCACTACAAGTCTGAAAAGTTACCATGGTGACAAAATAAAAGGAGAGTGCATTGTGGCAGCTCAGATATGGCCAGCTGATCTAATGTGGAATGGCAGATGTAACATTGCCAGTAAAAGTGAATTAACTCTTCAATTAAGCCTAAGCCTAGACTCCATAAGTCTCCATGTCTAAAATGACACTCTGGCCTAAATTAATATGCTTACTTGCATATTAGTAGAACTGCTGCAGTCTCTAGAATGAGATTTTCCATTTAAAAGAAAAGGAAAGCCTCCTTCTGATGTGTCTTAAAGGTAGGAGGAACTTTTGAAAAAGTACAGTTGCTTTGGGGTATATTTTGGGGGCAAATAGCTAGTGTTAATGCTAGAAAGATGAATATTGTAGCCATATTATTGTACCTAATTGTTCATATCATTTTCAAAATCATCATTACAATGGAGAGAATGGATTTCTCAAATGACATAAATGACTCAGATGATTAGGACATCAAGCTAAAAGCTACGCTTAGCAAGTTTAGTAAGGGTATTTAGATAACTTAATTTGGCTTCTTTTCTGTGGCTGAAAGGGTAAAAACAGTTGTCTTCAATGTTCATTTTGGGCTAAATAAAGCTAAAATTCCTGTTTTCTTTACGATTTTGTTTGACAGCAAAGCTAAGATTTATGGTAATACTTGCTTTGTGGTATTTATGAGCCTATATCATGCTAGCTGGCTAGGCTAGCAGTAGTGTCGGTTGACACCACAGGGATTTCTCCATTGAGAGAACATTGATGAGTGGAAACAGTGAAAACAGTATAAAACCATGGTAAGTAAGTGAAAACAGTATAAAACCATGGTAAGTAAGTCAAACTGATGAGGTTAAGGGATCCGGTGCTGCGCTACAGAATACTGCATAACACGTTGAATAACATACAAAACTGCTACAAGAAAATCAGCACCAGATTTTTGTTTAAGCTCAGCTTATACCATGTGGGATTCACCTGAACTCTGTATGAACGCTATAAGCCTTACTTCAGTATTCTTGATTTGACTTGACTGTGTTTCTACATGGCTGTGCTGCCCCTGACTCAGAGTTCTTCTAAAAAAGATGACCATATGAATTGCCCTGTGGCCGACCTTGGGAGTCAGTGTTTTTTACCTCCTTCAGCATTACTCATGAATATTTTCATATTCATTAGTTTATCCCCTTCTCAGAGTCTGGTATTGCTAACAAGGCACAGCTATAGAGAAACACATGGACAGGGCAGATGATTCACATCCACCCGGTCCTGTGTGTCTGGAGCTAATGAAGACATTGTTTCTCAGCAGAGAGAGAGAGAGAGCATTCTTTTGCTGTTCCAGATGGTCTCTGTGGCCGGTCCTGAATCTCTAATCACTGGCAGCTGATTAAGTTTTAATGGATTATACATAAGACACTGGAAGCCTGAAGTCATACCACAAACCCCTGATACCCGACTAAACCCCTAGATGCTCTAGTACCTGTAATGAATGAATGGAAGGCATAGACAGCAGGATGCATGCAATGAGTGAGTTTATCTGGGCTATTCCAGTAATCAGCATCATTATACATAGCCTAGACTGCTTTGTGAATGAGGTACAATAAAGGGCAGCCAATCAGAACAGAGGTTAGTAACACTGGTCAAAAATATGTGGACACTCCTTCTCATTAGTGGATTCAGCTATTTCAACCATACTCATTGCTAATTGGTAAATAAAACCAAGCCATGTATCCCATAAAAAACACTTAAAGTAGAATGGGTTGCACTAAAGGGCTCAGTGACTTTCAATGTGGTGCTGTCATAAGATGCCACCTGTCCAGCAAGTGAGGTCCTCAAATTTCTGACCTGCTAGAGCTACCCTATGCAAATATGAGTGTTGTTATTCTGAAGTGGAAACATCTTGGAGCTACAAAAGCTTAGGTGTGAATAGGCACGCAAGCCTAGGATCACTGTGGGCAGTGACTAGCAGTAGCTGAACAGGCCCAAATGCATAGCGATGACTTTGAAGTTTGGTGGAGGAGGAATAATGAGTCTGTTTTTCATGGCTTTGATCATCAAAGCCGTACCTGACATCAGTACCTGACCTCACTAATGCTCTAATGAGTGCAAAACAAGAAGCAGGTGGCAGCTAGGCCCAGGAACAGGAAAGGGACAGTCAGAACTGAGAGTTAATGTGGAACTTCTCAGGGAGAAGATGCCATAGTATCCCATTAAACTCCAGCATCCCTTAGTACCCTACTAAACCTCTAGTTCACATACACCAATGGACTTCTGGTACTCTATTAATATATTTTGGTGCAAAGTTTAACTATCTTAAGCCAATGCTTTATTCCCAGGAAAAACTGTGGTATCCCCTGTAACTCACTTATACACTGTGGAACACTAATTAGCTGCCTTAAGCCAGCACACAACATCTACTGGTAGATAGCATCTCACTAAAGTACAGACACACTGAATGAGAAGGTTGCTGTACTGACAAAGAGGTGCTTAATTAAAATATATATGAGCTTTTGCCCTATAGACACATACCAATTACAAACATATTTCTACATACAGCATAAGGCAATAACAAGGTTCTATGGGGACGTTTGGCAAGAAGAAGCATTTATTATTCTCTGTATAAACATAATTGAGCTCAAGCTGTGAGGAGACAGAAATGCATGTGAAGATACAAGCTTGTCTTGTAAACCCCATGTTGAGTAATTGGTCTTCTTGTTATTGTAAAGTGACCCATACTGTGCCAATCTGAGTAGTTGATCTGGTCAGTTATATATAGGTGATAGATAAATATATATATTGATCAAGAAATCTAATTTAAACCATAAATTATATATGTATCCATTACTGAATCAGATGCTTTTCTCTTCTCTTTCTCAGTGTATGGGTTTGTGTGTCTTTGTTCCAGGGGTCTGTTTGCCAGTCACTACACAGAGACGCACTACCTGGACGGTGGAAAAGCAGTCACCACCTCGCCCTCCTCCACGGTAAGATCACTCTTACACTGTCTTGTTCTGATTGCAGTCTTTACTCCATGATCTGAAATCCTACACTGACGTTTGTGAAAGCATGTGCTCTGGTTTCATCACGATTCTGAGATGAAAGGCGGTGAATAAGTTTGTTAATTACCTGCAGTAAAAAGCTTACAACTCCCTCGGCTAATATAAACACGCTTCTCACACTCTCTCTCTCTCTCTCTCTCTCTCTCTCTCTCTCTCTCTCTCTCTGTCTCTTTCTCTCTCTGTCTGTCCTTCTCTTTGCTTCATGCTTGCCTGTGCATTCATTGTAGAGGTTCAGGGGGTTGTAATTTTTGTATTAGTGTGTTTTTAGAGTTCACTGTCTTTATAGTATTTCTCTCCTTATAGTGTCTCTCTCTTGCTGATTTTCTCTCTCTTTATAGTGTTTCTCTCTCGCTTTCTGTCTTTCTCTTTTTCTCCCTCATACTGCCACTTTCTTTCTTTATTTTGTTTGTTTGTTTCTTTCTCTGTTTCTCTCGCTCGCTGTCTCTTTCTCGCTCTCATTCTCACTTTCTTTCCTCTTTCTTTCTGTCTTTCTTGCTTTTTCTCTCTCTATAGCTCTCTGTCTCTCTCTTCATCTAGGTAAATCTATAGGTAAATATGTAAATGCTTCATGATAGCGGTGTCAATCAGTGTTTTCTTTCTTTCTTTTTTCAGTCTTTTTGCTTTCTCTCTGTCCTTTCTCATCCATTCTTTCTTTCTTTCTTTCTTTCAAGTGTCTGATTTGTCCATTGAACATGTGAACTGTTGGCTGCTGTTATTCTCACCTTTTTCCACTTCTAATTAAACTAATCCTGTTGGGTCGGCTGTGATTTTTGTCCCCAGTTGTATATTTAATCTTTTTAGCTACAAGTCAAGCCTTAACTTGTATTGTGCTAACCACTATTTAGACAGACGGACCGTGTGTGTGTGCTTGTGTGTGTGTCTCTATGTGTCCTCTGAGGTCTGTTCAGGGTCAGTGAAACATCAGCTGTGCTGTTTCACAAGACTGGAGGGAGATTTGAGAAGCTGCTTGTGCTTGTTTGGCTGTTCCATCTCCCGCTCCTTGGAGACAGGGTGTGCTGAGTGCACACTTTTTTCAGTGTGGAGTGTTGTGCCTCTTTTTTGAAGGGAGGCAATGATTGCAGATCACGTTATCCAAACTCTGACAGCTCCTCCTTCTCAACAGTGTGCCCCAGAGGAATGTTATTGAGAACTTTTGATTAGACAATGTGATCTGAGATTGCAAAATAAATAAAAACATGTGAAAAGTGAGGACGCACAGGCAGGACATATTCTCCTAAGATGAACACACCCACATGCACTCACCTACACATGCTCATACATTCACACATGCAGTCTCAGTGTAACTGGACAATGACCACTTTTGTTGTTTTGGCACTGGATTGAATTTGGAATGAAATGATCACTGTGAGGTTAAAGTACAGAATGTCAGCTTTGATTCAGGATACTTATATCTGTATTAGGTGAACTGTATAGGAATCCATGTTATTTATACTCATAGTCTCCTCATTGCAGAGCACCATAAGTAATTTGACAAATCGACACACAATCTTAAATAACATTGACATGGTTAGTAATTATTTGCAAATCCTTTGCATTCAATGACTTTGCATTTGTTCTGAAACCTATAGACATTACCAGACCCTGGTATCTTCTCTGTTCATGCCCTGCCAGGTCTGTAATGCAGCTGTGTCTGTTTCTGCTTCTTCTGGGGGCTTTTCACCTTCAGTTTTGTCTTCAGTAAGTAAACGTGAGCTCAGTTGAGCTTGGGTCAAGAAACTCACTTGGTCTGTCAACACATCACTTTTTTTGGCACTGAAAATGAGATTTTTTTCTCCTCAAATCATCAATCTAGTACAAGTTAATCTTCAGTTGTCCATAAGACTTCATCCCAAAATTCTCCTGGTCTTTGGTAGTTTTTAGGAAGCTGCCTGCTCTTTTTCTTCTAGAGGCGTACCACTGGTTTTAGTAGTGTGGTAAACTCTCTGAGATTATGCTGATACATTTTTCTCCTTATGGCAGTTTTTGACATGCCATTGATCTGTTTAGCAGTTTTTCCTCATGAAAATATTCTACTTCTGTGGTCTTCCATTATCTGCCAAGATTTTGCAAGTGCTAGGAACAGACTATTCCTGCTAATTAATAATGCACAGAACAGTTGATTTTGACACATGTGGTATTTTTGGCTATGTCTGTGATTTATTCACATTTTCCAACTTTATGATAGCTTATTTTACTGCCATTGACACTTATTTGGTCCTCACGTTGAGATAAAACAGTAACTGACTCCAGATGAAAAAATAATTTGAATTTTTACATCTAGAAGCAACCCTAGACCTTTTCTTAGCATTTTTTGGGCATGAACTAGTGACACAGCTGGCAAGCCAACTGAGCAGCCAGTGGTCCAGGAACTTGTGGTACCTTGAAATAGTTGGACTAGGACTGTGGTTTTTATAGGTTTTATCACATGCAGATAGACATACATGTAAATATCCTTTAAACTGGCATCACTGCACTTTAACTTCATAATCATTGCTTCCTTTCAAATTCTATATGAGTACAGTTGTGCCACTGCAGTGCACATTTGTGGAAATAGGTGCATTGTTGATAGGAGTCTTGGTGTGAGGTTGTTGTTTTGTAACTATGGTCTTGGCTTGGTAAGGTTGCCTGTTCTGCAAATGCCAGGCATATTGCAACACACACAGAGACGTGCAAACAAACACACACACACACACACACACACACACACAAAATAAATAACCAGAGTGAGTACCAGGGCAGGGTAAGAGTCTCCCTTGTTTTCGAGTGTCTTCTTATGCCTTGGAACTGAGTTACAAGGGGTAGTGGTTGAAATCTTCCCCTACGAAATGGGACCCTCAAATAAAAAAGAACATTACTTCATTAATAGGCTACTAGCAGTGATCTGGAGGTGACTCTGCCAGTCTGTAGTGACAGCAGAGCAGCAGTAAAGTTCAGCAACCTTTAGTTACATTTAGGGAATCACATGCCCTTATTTATCGCCCACCCCTAATTCTTCGGTGATATGAAGCTGAAGTCAGCTATTTGCTAGCTTCTTGTTCTAATTTTCCCGTTCCACCTTGAATAGTGCAGCAGTTCTGACGTGTCAGAATGTAATTGCTGCACCATTTTAAGGTAGAACTGGAAATTCAGCTAGCTAGCTACAGAGACATCAGCATACTACTGTCAATTTTTATGCTTGTTATGAAGAATTCTTCACATTAAACTAAGATAATGTAATGGTTATTGTATTTTTTAACAGAGAAAATATTTACATTTGTAGGTTTCTTTGGTCACTTGCGCAGCCGTTTTTTTTTGGTTCTGTTTTTCTCATACCACTCCACTTGGTGTGTGCTTCTGAAAAACCTCTGTTTGGAGGGCCATGTAGCCCTAACACTTCTCCCTACCCCTCTATCTCAACAAACAACCCTACCCCTAGGCATGAATATGCGAAATTATGGGGCAAGGGCTAAGCGGTAGGGGCAAAGGGTGAAATGGGATTGGGCCTTAGTATGTCCATTCTTTTCTGTCTTCTCTCTTAAAAAATACATTACAGCTAGACTCATGTTGGTCTCGCCAGTTTGTCCTTTTAGGAGAACGGGGTCAGGTAGGACCCATTCAGACAGATTTTGTTAACTATTAAGGATTAGTTTTAGCTGAACCTGGAGGACTGTGTTAAGCCCTGACCTGTTATCATTTTCTCAGAATATAAGAGCATGATCCAAGAGTCAATCCAGGAAAAGGTTACTATTTAGAGCTAACACATTTCTGATATTTAGTCTTATTACTTCATTGTAGATAGAATTTGAACTAGGTCCGAGTGATCAAATCAAATATCGCAGTGTTTTCCAACTGTATCATGGTATCAGACAATATTTAAGTTAACATTAATAAAGTTAATGAACGCATACATTAACAAAGACAATAAGTTAGCATTAATAGTTAATAAATTATCAAATTAACGATCCTATGCTTCCTGAGTACTGCTGCTCTGTGCTAAAAAAAATGTTGCAAACCAGATGTAACTGTTTTATTTCTCTTAAAATGACACCAAAGAAAGCCTTACACAGTGTTGTAAATGTTAACTAGAAAGAAAGCAAATTTCCAGAAAGCAATTAATTTAGTTTTTATGATTTTTTTTAACTGTTCCCCTAAAAAAATGACATTGTAGTTAACTATCAGGCCCTGGATACCATCAGTAATTGGCTTCAAGCAGAAAAAAAATTTAACCAATTAAATGACCAGGGCTCACCAGCTGGCCCAAGGTTTTATCAGACAGCTCTGTACTCTAAGAATAACTCAGTTATAATAATGCCAGTTTGCACTGAATTCCCTGTGGTTACTGAATAATAAGCCTTAGTATGTAATATGCCTGGGATTAAGGGGTTAAAAAGTAAAATAAATAGAAAAGGGTAAATAAACTGCTTCACAGCATGGATACAGCTATTTTATGGTCATGTCATGTCTCATAGATATTGAATATTTAATTAAAAATATGGAAAAAACTAAAAAGCAATATCTCAGTATGTCTATATCAAAGAAGGGTTTGGCTGCATCCTGGAGCAGGATATTTATTTCCATGGGGAAAAATGTGCCTTATGGAAGGGAACACACTTACAGTAGTTTTTCCATACTCCATATGACAGTGCCAGCAACACACCTGCTGATGCTCAAGTTTACCGTAAATCCTAAGGTGAAGTTAAAGACATTCTTTCAAGGCAGCAATTCATCATGACGTTGCAAAGACACCGACAGCTGACTGCTGACTGTAAAGCTCACTGTGAAGTTGGAAATAATAATTTAAAAGTCAAATCAGATGTTGTGGAAGTTTTTTGGACCACGTCAGACATTATGTATCAACGTCACACACACAGGCTCAAAAGATAATCCGGCTCGATGTTTAGGGCAACATTATACTGTGAAGATAAGAACAGTAGATAATACACTTG